GGAGAGCCTTCCTCAGCTTCGGTCTTCTGCTGGGTGACATCAGCCCCAGATACCTCTCCCTGTGGAGAGCCTTCCGGAGCGTCTGTCTCCATTGGCTCGACTGTAGCCCCAGATGCCTCTCCCTGTGGAAAGCTTTCTGGAGCATCAGTCTCCATTGGCACATCGGTCGGCTCGGTCTTAACCGGATCAACCTTCTTGCCCTGTGGCAAGTCCGTAGATCCAGTCGCCGGCTCAGAGGTATCCATCTGAGTAGCCGCGGGAGGCTCCTCGATCTCCTCGATCTGTGGACATGGGAGCCGCTCGATAAACTCCTCGATCATAATGTCGTCATATGGTCGGGTGAGGAGCTCATTCAGCTCAGACTCCTTCTTCGCCTTCAAGTCTTCGTAAGCCACCAAGTCCGCTTTTGCCTTTCGGGCGAAAGCCGATCTGAAATCTCGGTGCTCAGACTCAGCGAAGACTTTCTCCAGAACCGCCAGAAGGTAGCTGCCGCTGAACGGCTGCTTGAGGGTACTGTCATAAAGACAATAGCCTTCAGGGGTTCGCACCACGTATTTCCTGCGAACCTCAGGATCACTGGCGTGGCGCTGGATATAGGAGAAGAAGTCCACTCCGGAAGCCTCATTGATGACGCGAACGAGCATCTGAAAATCCTCTCGCACATAGCCAACCTCATCGTACACATACCTTTCCCTGAGGAAAGCATTGTGTGCGGCGAGCTTGCGAGAGTAATCAGGATCCTCCGTCTTTGGCATCTTTGCACGAGGATCAGAGTCTCGAGGGCGATCGAATCCGATGTTACCCACGCTGGGCCTGAATTCGTTCGTCGCGGCGACAGAGACGTCGTCCAGCATCGCGGCAAGACCTCCAGGATGACGCTTAAAGTTCATCCAAGGTGACGAATAACCGTTGGAATAAACCTTCGGTTTCTTGTCCAGCTCCACGAGGTAGTTCCCCTGCAACTTCCCCATCTCGAAAGCCTTGAGGAAGAAGTGCAGGGAGTACCCCGAAAGAGGATGCTGCAGCCAGGATGCCCAGTCGTATTCACCACCCAAAGACTCCCTCATCGAAGTAGTCAAGGTGTGCCAGGGGGTGACCTGAACGAGGGCATCGCCATAGGTGCTAAGCATCGGCTGGCCAGAAGCGTCCACCATGTGCAACTTGCCATGGGCAAAGAGATGCCATGGATTGGTCGTTGCCTTGCGGAGAACCTCGTTGAGCTCCTCCTGCTGCTGGGACTTGTGCGCATCAACCTTGCCGTGGACGGTGTCCCCAGACTGATACGCATACTTGGTGTCTCCTTCGGAGGCTGTGGCTTGCCGCTCCCGCTCTGCCTTAAGCTCATTGTCACGAATAAGCTTCTGGAGAGCTGCTGCGTCCAAGGTGGGTACCTTCTCCTGAGAGAAGCTTCCCGATGACGCTTGGCCTGCATCCTGAGATGTCTTTGGCCTCTTCTTGGGAGCTGGCTTCGAAGGCATTGGATCCGAACTGCTACCCGGTACCCCTCCATGTGGAGAGCCTCCGGAAGCAGATGCAGAAGCAGACGCTGAGGTTCCCTCTTCCTGAGAAGAGCCTGCCTTCACCTGAGCGAAGTGTGCCGGAGAGACTCCGGTCACCTTCACCTGAGTGAAGCACACCGGGTATTCCGGTTGCCTCCACCTGTGTAGAGAATACCGAACGGGTACCTCCACAAGTGTGAAGCTTCCCGTTTCCCGGGAGCTCCGCTACCACGTTGAGATGTAACCTGGACGTGTATCCCCTCGCTAGGCGTACAGGAACACAGGCACTCAGGTGTCTCTTTTGCTACAGGCGCACAGCTGTAGTCCACTGCACTAGAACCTTGAGCAACAGGCATGGATACATGCAAGTGATACGTGAAACAGACAGGCACCTGGATGTGTAACATTCAGTGTTTCACCCCCTCCCCCCCCCTCCCCCCCTTCCCCCCCTTGTACCCGTTCTCCTCGCACTTCGTATCAACAACCGTGTAAAGGTTGGGGTTTGACAGGCCGCCCTAGCATAAAAAAACATCGACTGCCCCTCGCCCTGCCGCTAGACAGCCGAGGCGGGCGGCGTAGCGTTAAAATTAATCGTGCTTCTACAAGGTCTCTTGGGGCAATCTCATAGTCATCACGACTCGCACCCCAAACCATCACCCACCATCACCCTCATCATCCCTCATCAACATCATCCGCTGAGCCCGGCGCGACAGGGGTAGTCGACAAACCACGCTCCGTCTCTATAATAACTACCTGTCTACAGAGCACACCTCTCGATCCTTGATCCTCAAACTGACTGCGAGTGAAATCTCTGCATGGTAGTGAGTGATATGTCAGAAGGAAAGCACCTGCATGGCTCGTCGTCTTCACTGCTGCCGTCCGTAAGCACGAACCACTGACCTTTTCTCTTCCACGGCCGCAGCAAACGCAGTCTGCACCAGCATTAACCCTGTGACTCTTGCACCCATAGTAGCGAGAAGTTGCATCTGCTAGACACAACAGTGGGAGGGATGAAGATGACGGTTGCTGAACCAGACCGCATAGGAGTTGCAGTTCAGCAGCAGTCTGGAAGAACTCACCGGCCAAGCAGTGTTCAAGACTGCTTCTAGATGGCAACCCTCATGCCCCGAAACAATCAAACTCTGAAAATCCTTGAAGACTGAACCCTTGGAACTCGACGTTGCAATCTTTCCACCGGCTTAGAAGTCTTGAATGCTAGACACTGAACCCGACAAAGCTACACGAAACACGTAACCCACGGCTTTGGCCAGCGAAGCACAGTCTGCCTCACGGCAGATCGACCTCTCGTGCAAGTTTCGGTCAGGGCCAGACATTCAAGGTTAAAGGCTCCTTGTAAGGATTCCTATCTGGGTTTGTTTAAGGATTTCTTTAAGAGCTCTTTTCAGGGATATAAGGATTTCTTTAAGAGCTTTTTTCAGGGATATGATTCAAATGGTTTAGGGTTTAGGGCTTTAGAAAGGTCCCTTTAAGGATTGATTAAGGGCTCCTGATTGGGGCTCCTTTACGGGTTCCTTTTAAGGTCTCCTGTAAGGGACCTGATCTATGGGTTTTAGGGTTTAGGGGCTTGCGGTTTAGGATTTTAGGGTTCAAGCCTAAGGGTTTAGGTTTAGGGCTCCTTTAAGGGATCTACAGGGTTCGATGAGGGTGGTGTTAAGGTTTTTCAGGGGCCGGGGCGGGCGGGCTGTTTGAAGGACTGCTAGGCTTACGATTTAGGATTTTGGGTTTCAGTGTTGTCAGAAGTTTTTATAGCTGAACCCCATACTTTAAACCCTGACATGGTCTATGAAAGTTTGGAAAGGTATCACAACGGTTGCAGGATCGGCGTCCTCAGACCGGACCTGCTGCACCTGAATTGGATGAATGCCGCTTTGTCCAAACGTCTCGTTCTTGAATTACCCAAAGATGGTTCCGCACTTGGGCAGCTGCTCAACCGAAGTGGAATCCTCGACATGATATGATATGTATGACATGACATGATAGATCATGAAACGCATGGACATGTGATGATGTGATTTGGCGTGTCACCCGACGAGTTGCTTCAGTAGATTCTCAACCCTATGTTGAACCCTGTATCGTGTGACGAGCACGGAACTTTCGGTATGTTCGATTGTGCTACTTTCAATCTGCTATTTCCGAGGAATCCGTTTTGCCGTGGCATGCACGGGAGAATCGATGCAAACGTCCGATTCGAAGGGCATCGTTATCCCCCCATGAGGTAGTATATCCCCAGTACAGTATAATGCACCATTAAGCACGCCAAAGCCCCGTTGCAGGGTTTAGGGTTTAGGGGGCCCATAGATTACAGGGCAACGCAGCAACCATCCGTTGTGATGTACCTCCAAAAACTTCGATCACAAGGGTGCACTGCCGTCCCACTATGACCCATGATGAAAATCCGGGCCTGCCACACTGCAAATGGTGCTGCCTTGAAAAAGCTGGGGTTTGGGCTTCTTCGCCAGTGGAAGTTAGGTCTTCGATGTGGTTCTCAGGTTCCGGGGAAGAGCCGGGGGCTTTAGCTGCAGCTCAGGAAGGTTTAGGGTTTAGGGTTTGTTAACTGGACCCTAAAGGTATGCAGAAGAGTAGCCTTTCATAGGTGCTGGGCCAATTATTCTACCTGCTGTTTGGGTGTTTAAGTAGAGTTTAGCGTTGTCGCTCCTTGGCCTCACTCCGTGTAGGATCTCGTTCTTCTTCAATCTTTCGGATCTGAGCTTGCTGCTCCTGATTGAGTACCCATTCTTGGTACGAGGCTGTTGATCAGAGGACCCGACACGAAACCATCATTTAGAACCCATACTGTACGTCAATCTGGCTTCATATCCAAGACGTCGGAAAAGTTACACCTACAGCACATCCATTCCTGACATAAGCCCCAAAACCGTGAAAAGGTTGTTCTTGTGAATGTTGCTTGCGGAACTTCCGGGAAAGTCCTTTTCTTGGCCTGATAAAACCTTTCAAATTCAAGAACCCTCATAGAACCCGTGCAGCAGACTTCTAGAACGCGCATAGAATCTTGTAAGATGCCCTTGACAGATGGGAGAAACAAGGAGGCTCGGGCGCTTCAAGTGCGCATGTTTCCCTTTGGCTGCCGGAAGCACTCTAGCAACACCATATAGCATTGGTGTTGTTGTCATTGTTGTCTTTGTTTCGCACACCGCACCCGATCCGCATTGCTTTTAGGCTAGGTCGGTTCGGAGAAACAACACCGTTTCGCGGGCAAAAGATGCAAAGGGCGGTTGTCCTGACTCCTGAAACCACACTAACCCTAGGACCTGAACCAAGAAAAGCCCTGCTCCTCAAGCTCCGCGTGCGCTGAGCTTGTACTGAGCTTCTGGCTGTGCGCATACGAAGGCCTCGCCATTCATCAAAATCCATGGCCTCGGTGCTTCGATATTGTCGACACCACCACAGGTTACTTACAATCCATTCTACTGCTGTGCGGAATCTTTTCTCCAAAGCTTTCTACTGCTTGTGAGACGGACATCAGCACCCGAAAAGGCTGCAGAGGTTGTCCCTGGCGCCTTCGAAGCTCGGGTGGCGGATTAAGGCCCGCAGTTGCTGCACTGCATCTGCGTAAGTTCGATCCGGATCGTCATCAGCACGAAACAGGAGCTTCAGATCGTCAATCACGTTGGTCTGGTTCGTAGCCCAGGCAAGTGGAGCTGAAGCTGTTTGAAGGCTATGCAGGAGTTTGACCAACAAGCACACCCACTCCTGGCGCTGAGGCTTCGTCAGTGCTCGCAGGAGCTTTTCGAGATGTTGCATGCAAAGCCACATGTGAGCCCAGGTCCGCTCTGTTTCTCCACTGGTTGACAAGATGTCTCTCATCTGACTGAGCATCTCTTTTGCAATCAACTCGTTCACGAAGCCGAGACCGCGGCTGGCATGGTTCACAACTACTGCGTGTGCTGCTTCACGCACGGAGATATCTGGGTCAAGGCAGTACTGAAACGAGTGACGGAGGTTTTCGAGCACGATGTCACGGACACGACTTTCGGCAAAGTGAGTTGTCGGAGCTCGTGCCAGCATAACACACCACTGCTGGCCTGAGATGCAGAACAAGCAATCGGGCAAGCTGGACAGGAAGCTGCTGGCAGAAAAATCTCCTACAGAAGCTTGAACACATCAAGAGGCATTGGAAGCGCTTCCGGTAGGCGACATCGTCGCCGAAGGCTTCGGAGAACAATGGGTTGGGAAGGGCCTGGACTCGGTCCAGAGCATCAGCATAGGCGAGGATGGACGCGGACCTGTGCGCGTATCTGGATGTGCCCGTCACTCCCTCGAATGCAAGTAGTGCAAACCGTATGAGCACAGGAAATAAACAGTCTTAGATCTCAGGACCCGGCGTGTCAAACCTGCCAACTTCGGTCAAGTGCTTCAGCAAGACCTCGGTTTCGGAACTCGCAGGACCACTTCAACCAAATTTCACGCACCGTGTGCTCCGACACATTACCGTCGTGACAAGCCTCTCTGGTGTAGATGCTTTGTTTGGCTTGGTCGAAGCGGGAATTGCACACGGAAAGCCTGGCCTCAGGACTCCGGGTCTGCCGGGATGTCACGCGCCAGTCCACCATGTCTTTGACCTCCAGCAACGCATGCATCCCTGTCGGGTTGCTCGACCGCGCTTTGTCACTCACTGGAATTTGAGACAAGCCACGGAGAGATGATGCAACAAGACAGGCCTCGACACATGCTGATGAGGACAGCGCCACCGACTCAAAACCACGGGTTTCAGGCAATCCCCCCGGGCTCGTCGGCGGCCAAGTAGCAAAGCCTCGAAGGACGGATGAAAAGGATCGACGGCCTCACACACGCATGCTCTATTGCTCAAGCATCGACAATGGCCGGCACGGCGCTCAAGTGGGCAGATTGGACAGAAATCAGACATGAGTAGGCTGAGCCTGCCTGCACCTTCGCAGCGCTGGAATCCGTCTCGTCTGCAGCAAACGAGCCCCTTGAGGCTCCGCGTTCCCGCTTCTTCTCAGGCCTTTCCGGACCGAGTTGCAACACTTGCTTTGCAAACCCTCCGTGCGGCCAAAGAGGCCTCTCCACTGCACGTGACGTCCCCTCGTGAGCTTCGCAATTGTCTGCCCGGAGCGCTCCAGGCAAATCTTCCTTTCAATGACAGAGATCAATTTGGCTATGTTCCTTTCACACTCGTATTATCCAGGCCTTGATGCTTGGCTGCTCATTGTCTTTTATCTCGGTCTCGGAATCGCATGCCTGAGAGAAGCTCTGTGAACGTGCGAACTCCTATCTACGGAGAATCCGCGCCAGATGCGGGCGGCACACCTCGCAAGCACATCCGTGGTGAGGGGCGGACTCTGGAAGCTCCTGCGGGCGAGCCGCTCAGGTGCTGAAATACTGTTGTGGGTGCGACACTCTGCTCGCGTCCTGCGGAGAGCCGTCGCCGTCGCTGTCGCATGTGCTCTCAGTAGGCGAAGACGCACCGCTTCCCACCTCTTTACTGTGCCTTGGCACACAGAAGGATCCCCCGGATTTTTCGCGCGTGGTGGGTGTGAAGCTGCCACAGCAAACTCGTGGACGGGGTCGTTTTGAGTCTTCCCGACCTCCCTGCAGCAATTCTACATTATGCTTATCAGGTCGCCTGTCCCTGTAACTGATGTAGACGGTAGAAAGCCACAAGTTCGAGTATCCAAACATTGCTAGCATGTCATTTTGGCGGATGTAGGGGTTGTGACAATTGCTCATCAGCTGGACTGACCATGGCTTCAACAGACAACAGGCTTCGCAGCAGTTCCCCTCGCCCCGGGCTGGTTGGCGGCCCAGTCACAGAGCTTCGCAGGGCGCGTGGCAAAGACCGATGGCTGCCTCGGGCGCGGGCGCGCGCGGATGCTCAAGCATCTACAATGGGGCGACACACTGCACGCCGGGCAGACGAGTGGAGCCTGCTCCCTCTCGGCAACAGATTCCAGCTCATAGGCTTCGCCATCGCACTTCTTGTCAAGCCTCTTCAGACTGTCACAGTTGTTGCATGCAAACCCTCCGGTTGGGCCGAACAGGCCTCTCCACTGCACGTGACGTTCCCTCGTGAGCTTCGCCAATGTCTGCCCGGAGCGCTCCAGGCAATTCTTCCTTCCAATGTGAGAAAGATCAACATCGCCACTCCATCTACGGGCTAGTGTAAGCGGCACACCTGAGGAGAAGCATCAGGGAACTCCTGCGGTGTGAGCTGCTGAGGTGCTGAAGGATTGTCGGCGGTGTGACTCCGTGCTTGCGTCCTCTGGAGGGCCGTGGGCGGCGCTGTCGCAAGTCGACACAGAACTCAGAGATGCACCACTTCCCTGTTCTTGTCTCCGCCTGGGCACATGGAAAAGCCCATTTGTTGCGTGTCGTGTGCCTGAAGCTGCTGTTGAAGGCACTTTTTGGCGATCTCGCGGGTGGGATCGTCTTGTTGAAACTTCCTGAGCTCCCCATAAGTGCCATGTCTGCTCAGTCTTCGATGTCCCCGTCCAGCACTTGAGACCATTATGCCAGCAATGCATAGTGCCTGGATGACAGAAATTGCTGCCACAGCGGCGGGCTGCCAGGCGGTGCAGTAAGGAGCACATGCTCCTTTGACCTCACAGGTAAGGGTATGCAGGCATCGTGTCCCCATCTGCACTCCCAAAAGTAAAATTTCTGGGCCTATCCTGGACAGATCCGGATTGTGAACCTGATCTGGCGATCATTGCCACAGAGGCACCCTCGAAGGATGTCAGATAATGTCAAAAGCAGGCTTGACATCATTGACATCCACACACACACACGCTGCACATACTCTGTCTGTGCTTGGCCCTCCTGCTCAGTCGACTCGGCATCTGCACTCTGTTCCATACACCTTGTAGATCGAAGACATGTCAACTGTGCATGGATGCAGGCAGACAGTGCGTGTCGCATGCATGTGCTCCCCATGTGTTGGCTCGGCCCCATGCATCTTCCTAACACCCACCTACAAGAGAGGCACAACAGGTTGCGGTACAAAACTTCAGATATGTCAAGGGAAGGCGGGGAAGATCAGGGAAAATTTGCAAAGTTTTGGGCTTGTGTCGCCGTGTTGCAGACAGTCATCACACACAAAGAACAGCATTACACACTCTATCCGTCGCCTGGTTCTACTGGTGTGGCAGCTGTCCGTATGAACAGCCGGATTTGTGTAAGTCATCAATAGACCCTATATTCACTACATCTTGGAGGCAGATATACCTGTGAGTCAGGAAAATCTTGACATATCCTGCTGTCGAGTTGCTTCATGTCGGGGCAATGCTTGGCCTGAAACGCCTGCACCTCCAGGATGCGTAACCTTAAGGAACGATGGCTGCATGCTGATGCAACAGACAGGGAGACAAGATGCAACGAGCTAAGCATCAAGGCCGGCCCTACTCCTGCCACATACAACGTGTCGAAACATGCTCCCGGACGCGACCTGTTTGTCAACCTGCTTGAGAAAATGTCGAAGAAGAACTTTGCGTCGTCAGCACAACAATGGAAACAAATCGAACCAATCGCATGTGAGAAGCTTTGTACTCAGCTTCTCTTTGTCACGGCGAAGATTGCGGCACCTGAGCTCTGACTGATCATCTTGCGATGTTAATAGCTACAACGACTCCATCCTTGTTTCACGCTGCGTAAGCATGCTGTACTATCATAGAGTTCAGCTCAAAGACTCCCACATGACATCTTGGCACTTGCATTGAAGTGGCATGCTAGCAGCTGTCACTAGCTAGTATTTACGTCTGCTGCATGTCCTGAAGCCATACAGAAAGGGCAATTCCAAGCACCCTGCAAAAAAACAATCAAGTTTTAGAAAAAACAGATGTAGCCCTCGAAAACCCGATAGCAACGCAAAGAAAGCGCTACCCAAAAGTGCAAAACGATATTGCCTTCTTGGCGCATGTGTGTTGCATTGTCGTTGGTGCCTTTTTTGCCTTTTTCGCAGTAGCGAAAAGCACCAAAGAAAAAACACTGCGTATTGTCCGTTTGCTTCGTGTTTTTCCTAGGTAAGCACGCAAGCTGCCTTTTTGACCTTGTTCTTGCCTGTTTGGCGCCTACCTTTTTCTTAGTAAAACACAAAGAAATCAGAAAGGCTCCGGAGTCCCGCCCGACATTTGTCCGAGAGCAGAGCCATCAAAAGCTGCAACAAATCATAAAGAAAACTACCACAGAGAAAGGCAGCACGGAGTCTCCCTAATCCCGCGCAGTTGCGTTCTTTTTGCCTTTGGTATTGGGGCTGCCCTGGCGGCCGGCTTGTCTCATTTACAACACAAGCCAGGGTGCGCCCGACCTACACTTACATCACGAAAGCAGCCAGGGCGAGGAATCGAACCAACTGCAGCTGAGAAGCTTGTTGCGCCACGTCTCACTGCCAGTCCAAAGGGCATTGTTTTGAAAAAAGAGATTGCTGCACCTTGGCGCCGTTTCAAAGTCTTGCCACCTACCATGCTGTACATATCTGTTTACCACATCCGGGACGTCGTGGGACAAAGCCTTGCTGTACGCAGATCGTGCAAATCTGTCAGCATACATACAGCTCGAAGACGAACCCCGCCTCATCAAAACGGCAACGCTCGAACCAACTGCAGCTGAGAAGCTCGCTATCTCGCTGCTCAATCTCAGTCCACAGCGCAATGTTCTCGCTGTGCAGGCTGATGCACCTGGGCACCGAGTGAAAGTCTTGCCACACTGCATCTCATTGCAACAAGTGGAACATGTCCATCCTTGACGCATGTCTTGCAAGCATGCAGTTGACGAGTCGGAAAGAGCCACATCTTCTGACAAGAAAACGCTTGCGAATCTAGCCACAAGCAGCAACGACCATAACCAAGTGCAGCTGAGAAACGCGTTTTGCAGCATCTCGGTCTCGGCCCACCGGGCATGGTTGTTACGGCGAAGCCTCAAGGCCACGCAAGCATCTTGCGATGCTGTATCTGATCGTAACGACTGGAACAAAATCCACCCCTTGCACATGCCGTGTGCGGGTGCTTAAGTACAGATCGGAGACTCGTGAAGCAGCTGATCCTTCTCGGTGCTCAGCTTGCAGAGCTGCTGGACCAGAAAACAGCAGCATCTGCACCTGAGTCTCTTGCGCCAGGCAGATGCCACATGTAATCGACAGGGCCCAACTCAGTCTCTCCCCACAGTGTTGTACCTGCCAAAGGACCTGGGGTCATACTGAAGCGGAGCCGACTGGCACCAAACTGTCCCAGTCGCAGCCTCACTCCATGGGATTGGCGACATGTTGTCAACTTTGCTGAAGGGTGTGTTAAAGCTAGCAGCTACCGTGTCAGGCACACTGCAGAGTAGCAGTCGCTGTGAAAGTATGCGTTGCTGCTACTGTAGCTCGATCAGAAGGACGAGCACTGTTCGAGCCACGAACGGATCCGCTACAGTCACTAGAAGCAAGCCAAGTCCTGCATGCAAGGTGCTGCGTGAGCCAGAGCAACCGGAACCGAGCCGCCGACGAAAAACCAAGAGGGGACACGTAGGTGAAACCTCATGCGGAGCTGAGTGGTCGCAGGGCAGACGACGTCTCCCCTCATTCAAACCATGTCTCTCATTGACTGCGCATGTCTTTTTCGATCAGCTCTTTCACGAAACACAGGCCGCCCAAGGAAGGGGTCGAAACTTTCGGCAGAATCAGTTGCGTCGGCGAGCGCCACCGAACTGCACCGGTCCTGGCCTGAGATGGAGAATGGGCGATTCGGCGATTGGGCAAGCGAAGGAAACTGCAGCTCCTACGGTAGCTCTGACTGTCGTTGAGAAGATCAAGGGGCATTCCAGGCGCTTCCGGTAGCCGACATCGTCGGCAAAAACTTCGGAGTTTGAGAGTCGCGGAGGGCCCGCGACTCTGTCCACAACATCAGAATAGGCGACGACCCAGGAGGACCTGAGAATCTGTGTTTGCCCATCAATCTGGCTACTGCAGGTGTGCTGCAAGCAGCACGAGCACGGAAGTCAAACAGATCTTGGGATCCCGCGTGTCAAACCTGTCAAGATCGGCCATGAGTAAAGCTTTCCCTCTCATCACTGTACGCTTCGATTGGACTGGACCAAGAGGAACCGGACGGAAAGCCCAGCCTCGGGACTCCGGGTCTGCCGCAATGTCACTGGCCGGTACCGCACGTCTGGCACCTCCGAAGGGCAAGCATTCCAGCGTCGCGAGCCCCTCTTTCATGCTACACAACTTTGCCAGCCACCGGTAGCCGAGGTTGGTTGAGAGAAGCCACGGAGAGGTGCTGCAACAAAACAAGCCTCGACCCTTTGACTCAAAAACGTAGATTTTACGGCAGTTGCCCCGGGGCTGGAGTCCGGCTGGAGGCGGCCAAGTCACAAAGGATCGGAGGACTGATGAAATGGATCGATGGCTACCTCGCGGGGCATGTTCAAGCCTCAAAAGTGGCCGACACAGTGCTCCGGTGGGCAGGCTGGACACAATACTGGCATGAGTCTGTGACAAGTGGATTCCTTATCCGGGCCTTGAAGTTCGGCTGTTCATCATCATTGATATGCAGCGAATCTTCGGCTGATGTAGACGACACACTTCGTGAGCAGATTCGCGGGGAGGGGCGCACTCTGGAAGCTCCTGCAGGTGAGCCGCTCAGGTGCTGAGATACTGTTGTTCGGTGTGACACCCAGCACCGCTTCCCACCTCTTGACTGTGCCTTGGCACACAGAAGGAAGGATCCGATTGCTTGGAAGTGCCTGAAGCTTCAGAGCACCCCAACGCAAGCTACTGGATCGCTTTTGGACTTCCTGACTGCACAGCGTCTCTTTCCAAACTTAAAGACGACAACGCCAACAAGCATGGTGCGAGGATATGCCAGGATGACTGGAACTGCTGCCACAGTGGCATTTCTTCGGCACGGCTACCAAGTGCTGCCACACCGTGGTCGGGCACCTTCTTCTCTGACCTTGCCAGGAAATTGCACATAAGTGCCATGTCATGCCATGTCATGACATGTCACGTCAGAACTGCAAATGTCAAATCTAAAGAACATTCTTGATCCCTGTTCCTCACGGCTCCGGATTCTCAATCTCAACCGACGTCCACTCTGCTACACAGTTTACCTGTGCACCGTCTCTGTCAGACATGTGCTCCTAGCCTGCAAACCCATCCTCACTAAGACATCCTGTGACATAAGTCAAAGCCGGATTACAACCCCTTCTCACCTCACCCTGGCTACAGGGACCGATGTCGAGTGCCTTTGCACCTTTGTTGCACGTGGACAGGCCACAATCTGTGCCCATGATTCCCTTCGTGCTGACTTGGCCCTCCCTGAGCATCGTCCGGGGGCTGGAGCGCCGAGTAGCTGATCGAAGCGCTGCGCTGAAGCGGTCGTCGTGTCGCTGCCGCTGGCCTTGGACGCCCCGATTTGCCGTTGGTGCGAGCGGCCAAGCCACGTGCACGTGCTCCGCTCGTGCTGACTCTACCACCTCCGACAACAACCACCGGGTGGGAAGGAACAACCCCCAACTCCCGAACCCAAACCCCTTGCTGGCTTCAGATGGAGGGTTGGGCACAGATTACCAACCCAAAACCACCCTGGTCCATGAGGAGTGCTAGCTGCTCTGGCGACGCGATATATGTATATAAATATATACATACATAAATACATACATACATACATACAAAGACATATATATGTGCATCAATCATGTGAAAGTATCTTGCAGCGTTTCCTGGATATTTGTGCGAGAGTCGCAACAAGTCACCTAGCCCACTCATGTTGGTTATCCTCAGGCACAACCAAGAGTTGTTGACATGTGGCAAGGAAACGCGCTGCTTTACTCGACATCTGCACACTCCTCACCTCCAGACAGACAATGTATGTGCCGTGCACGTAAGCTTCGCATGTGCGGGCTCGTCCCCTCCTCATCTTCCTGACTACACGTGGCCCCCAGCTGAAGCTACACAGCAGCCGAATGGCAACAGAACAAAGGTCCCCGAATAAGATTGAAAAGTATGCACAGGTGGATCTGGCTTTTTCGTTCACAGACACTACATCTCAGAGGCAGATACACCTGCAGGCCTGCATAATTTTGACGGGTCTTGCCGTCAAGTCATCGGACGATGGCTGCAAGCGGATGCAAGAGACTGAGAAACATCCTGTAACGAGCTGCACATCAACACGAGCCCTCGGAAGCTTCAATCGGGTCGAAACATGCTCCCGGATGCAACCAGGTCGTCAACCTGCTTGAAGCAAAACCCGCGGATGGACTTCTGATTGAACGTCTTGCCATGTTTGCTTGTAACGACTCGAACGAATCCATCCTGCACGCATGCTGTATCCATCCTTAACGCTTGTTGTAAGCACGCTACGGTACTGCTGGACGACTCGACAACAGAGCCACATCGCTCTCTCCAAAGCTTCTGACAGGACGGCACTTGCATCGCGAACCTAGCAACAACCATGACCCAAACCAAGTGAAGCCGAGAAGCGCGTTGTGCAGCATCTCGGTCCAGGTCCACCGAACATAGTTGTCACAGCGAAGGTTGCTGCACATGAGCGCGTGCCAAAGTCTTGCCATGCTGCATCTGCTCCTATCAACTGCAGCAAAACCGAACCCTGCACATGTTGTGTGCGAGTGCTAAAGTACAGCGAAAACTCGTGAAATAGCTGATCCTTCTTGTTGCTCAGCCTCTCGACCAAAAGCAGCATCTGCACCTGAATCTTTAACGCCAGGGCATGCCACATGTTTTCAGGAGTGTCACAACAAACCGGTCTCGACGCAGCAGAGCGGCACGTGCTCGTCTCAGTCGCAACACCACCGCATGGCATTGGCGACATGTTGGCAACTTCGCCGAAGGATGCTGGGGTATGTTGAAGCTTCCATGTCATGTGCACCACAGGGAAGCAAAGCTGTGAAAGTGTGCGTTACGGCCATGGCGGCTCGATCTCGAGGCACTCATTCGGGCCGCAGGAACACATCAAAGCGCGTCATGCAAAGGCTGCGCAAGGGTTCCCAGAACCAAGCCGCCGACAGCGGAGGGACTTCACCTCACATGCTCTGATGCTTACCAGGTTACCACTTACCAGTATAGCAGCAACAACAACAACACCACCAGCAGCAGCAGCTGCTGCTGCTGTTGCTGCTCAGCTCGCCACAGAGAAAATGCAACGCCGTGCAAGTAGTGCTGGGCTTTGTTTGAGCCAAGGCGGTGTCATAGCGCCAGGCACATGTGTCAAACAAGCTTGCAGACTCCATGCAGCAGTCTGGGATGGAGAATCGTGTGGATTTTAAGCCAGTTTCGGCAACTCTTCATCGCATGGCCCTCTTTTTGCCGCTACGCTAATTAAAGGGTCCCGTTGCAGGCATCGCCGCGCGACTGGTAAAGAGACTGAAGGAAATGCTCGTGTCGCGAGCAACTCTCCTTGATCAGACACGGAACCAGTGCTGCTTTAAACCTTTATTATACAAACACTGTGTATGTAAAATGTTGTTCCTGAGCCGGTGTGATGCAGTGAACTCGACCCTGCCGCATCCAAGAAGACGTGCAAACATCGAGCAGTTCGGTTGCTTCCAGCCATCACATCCTCCGTGTTCTTTGATGTCTCAGGGGTCCATACTTTCTTGGTCGCACTCCGCACACACCTGTGAGCCCGAATGGCCTCTTTCCCTGGGCTTCGGGTTCGGGTCCAGCAGCGCAGTGCCATCCTGGAAGCGAGGAGCCCAAACTGACATCAGCCCAAGCTCGAAGCTGAGCTGCACCAGCATCCCCTTACGTAGGCGGGGTACGACGACAATCGAGTTAACGACCCAGGTGCAGAAAGGCTTCATCTCCTCATCCTCTCCTGTCCACCAGACGCTGGAGCCTCTAATCCCAGCACCTGTTCCGTGCCGCAGCCGCCCAGGCTGTGACCAACATCCACAAGGTAGAGCAGAGCTCGGAGTCCAGCGCCAGCCTGCAGCGTGTTCTGGCCCTCTGTCATGAGATCTGCCTGCCAAGCACGTTGATCGAGGAGAAAGCATTGCCTTCAGCCGCAGAGAATCCAAAACCAGAGGCTGAGAAGCACCCAAGAAATCGTAGAGCCGTAAGCCAAGGACTACACTTCATCAATGAGCTGGCCCCAGAAGAAGGAGTTCTTGGCAGGCCCGTGCGAGTTGGCTCCAACCGGCCTCATGAGCCCTGAAACCAGGACCCACGCAAGCGAGATCCTGCGGCATCCTGCTCTCGAGCGCTGAGAACGTTGCGCACAATGCAACTTGACCTTTTTCGCTAGCACAATCTACCACAACGGAAAGGCGCCGAAACGGGCACAAATCGGCAGGTTTTTTTGGGCCTTGCGGAAGAGCATCTCGAGCTGACAGGAATGACAAGAATGACAAGCTCCGGGTGGCTCCAAAAATAAATAACTAAATAATTAATTAATTCCTCGGCCTCGATGCCCGGGAAGTCGTAGCGTGACTTTTGGACTCCACCCCGAGGAGCCAACTAATTATTTATTTAATGAATTATTTTTGGAGCCGCCCGGACCTTGTCATTCTTGTCATTCCTGTCAGCTGCGCCCAAACGGGCACGATTCGCGGCTGTTTCGGAGCCTTGCACACGAACTTCTCGAAATGACAAAAAATGACAAAAATGACAAGCTCCGGCCGGCCTGGAAAATAAAGAAATAATTAATTAATCCCCCTGGCCTCTGTTCTCCGGAAGTCGCAGGGCACTCGCACAACACTCAGACTCGCAGGGCGGCCTAGTAGGGCTTAGGCTAGGGGGTACTAGGGGTTCGGGCGCTGGGGCTCGGGAGTTATTGGCAATCAAGACGTGCAGGGCCCTCGCACAACACTCGCAGGGCGGGCTGGCAGGGCTTTGGGGTTCAGGCTTTGGGGTTCTAGGGACAATCGGGGAACCCAACATCCACTCTGCGGCCGCAACGACAGCTTGTCCTCGGATGGACCTGTGCAACAGCTGCTTCGAAAGTGGGTTCAACGGCGACAACACTCCTGCGTCGCCTCGTCTTCGACATCGGGTCCGGTCCGCCCCGCGGCCCGAGAAACAAAGAGCCACTGACAAAGAAGCACGAACACACACTGTAGCCCTCAAGCATGCGGCGCACACGGAACGACATGCAGTCATTTGCACTCTACTGCGCCGGGTCTGTTTTCGTCACTCCAGTCAAGGATGCCGGCTCAAAACGCCCAGCTGCTCACCCTGTGCTTCGGGAGCTTCACCGGGCCCTTGCCCCCCGGTTGCCCTCCTTGCTCCACGCATTTTGGGTTTCCTAACAGAGATTGTTTACAAATTTGAAATATTGCTTGTGAGGCAGACTCAAAGGGTTTTTTAAACTACATGTGAGCTGTCGAGACTCCATAAAGCGGGTTAAAAAGGCGACAAGATAGGGATAGTAAGAGGGACAATAGCTCACTTATGTGTTGAACCGGCCATGACCCTAAGTCCCCTAGGCATCTAGATACGATGCTGTCTGACTCGAAGTAGCCCAAACAATTGTGCAACCGAGAGCTCAACCTAAACGTGGTGTGGCCAGGAATGAGTGACGTCTTTGCTGCAGTCATCTAGTTCACTACAGCAGTGACCTAGCTCGCTACTGCTGCCGATCTATGCACGCAACTTGCAGCAAAGATGACCACACCGAAGACTTGCATGATGCACATCGCAAACCCTGACATGTGAAACTGAGAGACCGTGCAAAAGGATGTGCAGGGCTAATGGTGCTTGCATCTCCGATTTCCTTCACAAATCACATCGTCCGGCCTTTCAGGTTGGCTGCCACGGCAAAAAGCCGTAGCAATCTAGCCTAGCAGTGATGCCGTCACGTGGAAGTCAAATGGCCGATAACGGAGCCGAGGGTTGGGCTCGCTGGTGTCCTGGCGCAGTGAGGTTGATGCGCCTTCGACGCGTTGCCATGCTCCACCCTGCCACAATCGGAGGCTAGGGAAGGATCCAACAGAAGGCAGTCTGGGGCTCCGCACTTCTTGTGAGTAGATGTCAATCTGATCAGCCTCGACTTGCTTGAGGGTGATTGGCTTCCTCTGCTTGATGGCCTCGTGACTTGGGCAAATGTCGGGACAGGCAGCAAAAGGAAACATGCCGAGGGCGGGTCGGTCGCCAAGTCGTCCACATTATTGAGTCTCGAGTCTGGGTGGTCCTGCTGACATGCGATCGCCAACTCCACTTGACATGGTGCAGCGATGATGGCCTTTGGGGACACCTGAAACGCCCGCTCGAGCTCATCCTCGCCCTCAGGGTCTTGACGAGACTCACCTTATCTGCGCAGAGGCGCTGCTCCAAAACGACCGGCAATCGGAATCCTCCTTGGGCCTCAGCTTGGCGGTGATCGTCCTATCCTGCGCGGCGAGCGGTGTCGAAACTCCTAGCCCCGAACCGCCTCCCTAAGCCCCCTCCCCGACGTGTCAGAGCTAACACCGCGTGCGCTCACAACACTGTCCTTGTTACGGGCGAGCTCCCGCACCCAGACGACGGACGTGGAGGTCGTGCCTCACAGAACGCCATAGATTTGCTTTAGACTCCAACCCAATTCTACATTAAAAAGCACACGAATTCCAAATGAGCTCCAAAGCAAACCGAGAAGCGATCTGTGGCTCCTTTGCAGACTTCTTGGTAACGTTCCACGACTTTCGAGATGTTGTATTTGCCTTCAGCAAAACGCTTGACCACAACCAAATATGGAGCTTTGTCCGTCCATTTCTTGTAGTGGTCCGTCGTCACCTGCAAGTGACTCGCGTAGCTTTGCAAAGTCGAGGAATCCACTGGAGGACAAGCCTCTTCTGCAAGACCCCCTGTTATCTTGTGTCCGCCATTCATCTGCTCAAAGCGGAGCTTTGTTTCCCACTTCCGGATCAAGCAGATTACAGAGAAGTAAAAACGACGGTGGTGGACAACTCCCAAGACACTCCTGAGAGCAGCTTTATGGTCTCTGTATCTGAGTCGGTCATATCGTGCTCATCCAGTGCATCAAGCACTAAGACGGCCTTGCTGAGATCCTTCTTCTTCAGCCTCTCCAAAGCTCCAGTGAGGTGATTCGACAGCTGGTTTGCTGTGCTGTGCCCATCAGAAGGGAGCTTTATTGTCGGATCGATTGTAATGTGGCATGATGGCTACACATTTCCGGAATGACATCTATATATATATCTATATATGTCATTTATATTATGTGCAACTGCAGTTTGGCCACTCCTGGCGCAATGTGGCTCCGCCGGGTCCTTGTCAATGCAGTTGAGAGGGTCTGCGGGCCGTCCAGTTTTTCTCTTCATGCGTGCAACCAGCAGAGCAGATAGCCAGTGTGCCCCAAAGTCCATCGCTCTACAGAGTTACACTTGAATGCTCCGTGCCGCTTTGCAGCATTTGTCTCGGGTCGAACACCCAGCATCGTTGCGAAAACTGGTATATGGAGAGCACAGTCCCGCCGCCGTCGAGGGAGGAGGACCCGTTGCACGTTGGGAGCTGGCGGTACTGAAGAAAAAGTGTGTATATAGCCCGCTAGCAGGCGCAAAGCTCTTCGGGATCTACAAGCCCTTCCTCATCCAGCTCCCTCTCGCCGCGGCGAGCTGCAGCGATGGCAGCCCGCAATGGGGGGCGATCGCGATCGCAGGTTGCGTGGGGTCGTGTTGTTGTCGTTATGTGCATCTCCAACAGTCGGGACAGTTACAAGAATCAGCCCCAGACCCCCAGGCGAAAAGAGGCCGTGGCACCACTGCCGAGAAGATTCCTACAATCGAAGAAGGCATGAAGATGCTGTTCGGTGCGACTGCATCGACTGCGAAGGAGGGCGGGTATATAAGGGTTCTTGAATCCCTTGCATGTGCTGACCTGCAGGAGCCCGCTGCTGGCAAGACGCTGTTCGGGGCGACTGCATCGACTGCGAAGGAGGGCGGGTGAGGGTTCTTGCATGAATCCCTGGCATGTGCTGACCTGCAGGAGCCCACTGCTGGCGCAACGCCGGGTGAGATGGCATGCCCAGCACAGGCCGGTTTCGTGCCCTGCATGTTTTTTTTTCTGCGAGAAAAGTGGCGTCGTCCGTCTCCGTCTCCGCTCTCCCTCTCCTTCTCCCTCTCCCACTCCTCTTCCCCTCTCGCTCCCTTTCCCCTCCCCTTCTCTCCTCTCTCGTATATCTCCCAGTCTTTCTTCTCCTCCGCCCGCCAGTGCTGGCGCAATCCTTCGCCGAAAGTGTCAGGAGGAGCCCCGCGGGCCCAACGACACCGAGGAAGCATTGTGCGAGGATGTATGTGATGCAATCGAGGACTCCTTGCTGCGTCCCTATTTGACCAGTCCTGCCACACCGCTCAGACATGGTCGCAAGTCGCACATCGGCGCGGTGCTACCGGTCCTCGTGTCTTTGTGTGTCGACCGCTTCGGGAGATTCTGGCCTCGACGCATTTCGCTATTTTACTCCTCAATCGACCTACCGTTGCTTCAACGTGGTTGCGAGTTCTTCGCAGGGCTGATATCTGATGGTGACCACTTTGCACTGTTGATTGCTCGGAAGAATATGCCTCATGCCTATGTGCTCGACGGCCTCCGGAGGCCAAGTGTCCTTCAGATCGCAGGGAAGATCGTAGAACAGCTCAACGAGAAGCTTGGCTTGAGCTTTGCCGTGAGATGGGCCGACACGCCAGCTCAGCGGGATACGTGGTCCTGCGGACATCGCACTGTAGTGGGATTGCAGACTTTCTTATCTTCTCAGTGGCCACCACAGTTCACGGATGCTCACTTCACATCGGAAGCAATCGGGCATCTTTGCGACATGACCCAGACGTGGCCAATCGATTGGCGTGCCAGTGGCTCTGTTTCCGAGGTGGGGCCAGCAAACCCATGTATATATATATATAGCACATATATATAATCCACATCCGGCTTATATTCAGGTGTTCCAGAACCAGAGCCTTCTTACAGGAGCAGCTATAGATCTTGAAATATAGATATATACGTGCCTGGGCAGAAAGAGCCCGCCGCTGGTGCAGCTTGCCATCTGGAAGCCTCGAAGGTGCGACTGTGACAGTCACGTCCGGGGTCCGTCCCTCCCTCCCATTGTGTGTGTGTGTGAGTGTGTGGGTGCACCGCGGGCAGGCAAGCTCCACTCCTGGCGCAATCACTGATGCCACGATGCCGAAGCCGGATGCAGAGCCCCCGAGTGCGGGCACGAGTGCCGCCGATAAAGAATCCGAGTCGAAGGCGCGAGGGTGCGAGACGATTGGGCTGCACACATGCGGCCTCCGGAACCAGGGCCTTCTTACTATATATATAGATATGTGCCTGGGTGGCAGGAGCCCGCCGCCCATGCAGCTGCCGCCCGTCTGGAAACCTCGAAGGCAGGACTGTGAAGGTCACGTCCGGAGTCTGTCCCTCCCTTCCGGTGTGTGTGCGTGTGCACCTTGGGCAGGCAAGCTCCGCTCCTGGCGCAATCACCCCTGATGCGACGATGCCGAAGCCGGATGCAGAGCCCCCGAGTGTGGGCGTGAGTGCCGCCGATAAAGAATCCGAGTCGAAGGCGCGAGGGTGGGCGGGGGTGTGCCAGCCACCCGTGCCTGCTGTTTGTGTTGTAAAAAAACATGAGTGCATGTCCGAACAACTGCGGCATTCATCTCAACGCCCGTTCTTCAGGATTTCACATAGACTGGTGATGCTAGCTCCTTCTTTTAGTTCGTTTGGGACTTGCATGCCTCTTCATGGCTTTGCCTGGCGGTTGGATCATCCTTGGTCATGAGGAAGAGCAAGGTCTCAGTGCCGAGTGTGAGGATATGTGGCGTTGCATTTGGCATTGCTTGGATGTGTCATCTCGCCATGCGCTGCAATCGACCGGATTCGCTCCTCACTGCCTAGTGCGAGGGTTCTGCTACGGTCAGCTGGGCATCACGTTATGCATTTTGCAACGGACGGCCGCCCGTTATGAGACTCCGCCCACGGAAGAGCCGATCCGTGATGATCTGGGGCAAAGCTGATTCAGGTGGTGGAAGGCACCGCTGTACCTGCTACTTTGTGGAGACGCCGCTCGCGTCGCAGAGTGGCGGGAGTGAGAGCTCGGCAGCAGTATAGCAGTATATAGCAGCAAGGCGACGATCACGGGAACCAGACCAAGAGCACAGGACAGCACCAGCAGCACGAGCAACGCCTGCTATACCAGCAACAGAGAAGGTGTACATAATTGTATAGTATATATGTACATGCTCAACAGAAACAGAGCCGCTTTGTACATGCTCAACAGAAACAGAGCCGCTTTGGGATCTGGGGGGGCTTCATGGTTTCGGGTTGGTTCCAGGTCGACTGCTATATAGATGCTTTCATGCCACTTCCGGAATCAGAGCCTTCTTAGAGGAGCAGCATTAGATGGACGTTTGGCCGGAGGAGCCCGTCCCTCCCACCCATTGAACATTGGGTTGGTGGGTGTGTGCGTGCACCGCGGGCAGGCAAGCTCCGCTCCTGGCGCAATCACTGATGCCACGATGCCGAAGCCGGATGCAGAGCCCCCGAGTGCGGGCACGAGTGCCGCCGATAAAGAATCCGAGTCGAAGGCGCGAGGGTGCGAGACGATTGGGCTGCACACATGCGGCCTCCGGAACCAGGGCCTTCTTACTATATATAGATATGTGCCTGGGTGGCAGGAGCCGCCGCCCATGCAGCTGCCGCCCGTCTGGAAACCTCGAAGGCAGGACTGTGAAGGTCACGTCCGGAGTCTGTCCCTCCCTTCCGTTGTGTGTGTGCACCTTGGGCAGGCAAGCTCCGCTCCTGGCGCAATCACTGATGCGACGATGCCGAAGCCGGATGCAGAGCCCCCGAGTGCGGGCGTGAGTGCCACCGATAAAGAATCCGAGTCGAAGGCTCGAGGGTGCGAGGCGACTGGGGCTGCACACATGCGGCCTCCGGAACCAGGGCCTTCTTACAACAACAGCATATATACTATAATATAGATAGATGTGTACCTGGACAGAAGGAGCCGGCTGCTGGTGCAGCTGCTGGCCATCCGCAAACCTCGAAGGCGCGACCGCGACAGTCACATCCGGGCTGCCTACACTACGTCAATGTTCCACAGAATGCCTGATGCTCTCCAACAGCGCCTCGAAACTTTGGGCTTTCGCATCCCCAACAAACAGGCGTGACCTCTTTTTTTTATTCTTATATCTATGCATTAAATATGTGTGTGTTTTCTTCCAAAAGCAGCATATATATATATATATACATACCTGGGCAGGAGAAGCCTGCCGCTGATGCAAATGCAGCTGCCGCTGCCGCTCGCGAATCCTCGAGCTATCGACGGCGCAAACTCCCGCCCTCCTTTTCCGGGCCGAAAGGCTCCACAGCTGGCGCAATCACCGCTGGGGAGAAGCTGCCGAACTCAAGCGTGGATCACTTGAACAATGAATCATCGAAGGCGGTCCGCTCTCCGCCGGCAAGCCCTCCGGATGATCGGCGTGAATATGTGTTTCGTGCCGGTGCACGCAACAGCGACTTGTCGAAGCTGGCAGATGCAGCAGGTGATCAAGCGATCTTCGATGCAGCTGAGCCCGAGCACGAGAAAGGCGTGCCAATGAGTGGGTCCGAGAAGCTAATGGCAGGAATACGCCACGATGTGCTCCAAGGAAAAGTTGCTGCTGCCCAGGCACCGAATCAGTAGAAAGATTGTGGTTTGGGATTCCAAAACATATCCACAGCGGTCACTTGCAGTCGTGGCAGCAGCCTGTGACATCGTGTGACCATGTGTGGCAGGGCAAGCCGATCGAAGCTTTAGCGGCTTTAGCGGCGACGAAGCCGCTGCCGTCGACGCCATGCCAAGCACCATCCGTCAAGGCGAACCAAAGAATCCAAAGAACCCGCAAAATCGAGATGGCTGGGGAATGGTTGTGTGCAAAGCATTGCCAAGTCGGGATAGCCTCTTAGCCTATATACCGTGGCAGGTTGCTGGTCATCTCCAACTTATGTGCTCCACTCCTGGCGCAATCGCCGCTGATGCGACGATGCCGAAGTCCGATGCGGAGCCCCCGAGTGCGGGCACGAGTGCCGCCGATAAAGAATCCGAGTCGAAGGCGCGAGGGTGCGAGACGATTGGGCTGCACACATGCGGCCTCCGGAACCAGGGCCTTCTTACTATATATAGATATGTGCCTGGGTGGCAGGAGCCCGCCGCCGATGCAGCTGCCGCCCGTCTGGAAACCTCGAAGGCAGGACTGTGAAGGTCACGTCCGGAGTCTGTCCCTCCCTTCCGTTGTGTGTGTGTGCACCTTGGGCAGGCAAGCTCCGCTCCTGGCGCAATCACTGATGCGACGATGCCGAAGCCGGATGCAGAGCCCCCGAGTGCGGGCGTGGGTGCCGTCGATTCCGAGTCCGAGTCGAAGGCGCGAGGGTGCGAGGCGACTGGGCTGCACACATGCGGCCTCCGGAACCAGGGCCTTCTTACAAGAACAGCGGATATAGGACAGCATAGATAGATGTGTACCTGGACAGAAGGAGCCGGCTGCTGGTGCAGCTGCTGGCCATCTGCAAACCTCGAAGGCGCGACCGCAACAGTCACGTCCGGGGTCTGTCCTTCTTTGCCAGGAAAGCTCCACTCCTGGCGCAATCACTGATGCGACGATGCCGAAGCCGGATGCAGAGCCCCCGAGTGCGGGCATGGGTGCCGCCGATAAAGAATCCGAGTCGAAGGCGCGAGGGTGCGAGACGATTGGGCTGCACACATGCGGCCTCCGGAGCCAGAGCCTTTTTACTATATATAGATATGTGCCTGGGCGGGAGGAGCCCGCCGGCGATGCAGCTGCCGCCCATCTGGAAGCGTCGAAGGCGTGACGGTCTGTCCCTTCCTCCCATTGTGTGTGTGTGTGCACGTGGGCAGGCAGGCTCCGCTCCTGGCGCAATCAGCCCCGGCGCAGAGGTGATGGATGCTGTGTGTCAGGGTGACACACCCAGGGTCGTCAAGGCACGTGTATTCGAGCGAATGTCCCATGGTTTTGATTTCAACAGTGCTTCTTTTGCCAGGATATGAATTCCATGCCATTGTGTGGCCTCATCATCGATCACTGTTGGATCAAACTCATCCTTGCGGGGAAGAAATGCTGGGAGATCCGCGGCGGGGATACGGACAAGAGAGGCCGGATAGCAACACCATATATCTGACACAGATCCGCAGTTCATGGGGTGTGCTAATGTTGCCTTTTTTTGCGCATGCTGAGCTCAGGACTATGTAAGGGTGGTCTGTGTTATGGCACGGCTGTCTTGAGTGACTCTTTGGAAATTACTGGGAACATGTCTGATCACGCAGACAAACACCAAGTTCAAGATCCCGCGCTGTGGCAGCGTTACCAACGGAGATTTGCTTATGTGCTGTGCAATCCACACACTTTTGCAGAGCCTCTGAAATATTCTTCGAAAGCCAGAGTGTGGGTTAGATTGTCCGACGCCGAGCCAGTCACTGCTGCCGAGCCAATCGCAATCGAGAGCGAGATCAGTGAGCCTGTACTTACAGAGCTACAAACAACCGCAGAGCTGCAAGTGGAAGCCAAGAGATTCGGAATCAAGAGGAACCTGGCTCGGAGAAAGTTCACCGTGGTCGATGCTGAACTTGAAATCACTGAAACGTTCTCGTTTCTGCCGACGCTGGAGAGTCAGCGAGATGCTCTTGTGCGTGCACGTGCATTTCAGGTTTCAATGCAAGGTCTAGCTGGGGAAGCGATGCTCATGCAGAAGGGTGCTCTGGTGAAGTTCTTGTCCGAAGCAGGCCACTTAGTGAAACATGCACAGAGAGAGAGATAGAGAGACAGAGAGAGAGAGAGAGAGACAGAGAGATAGAGAGAAAGAGAGAGAGAGAGAGAGAGAGAGAGAGAGAGAGAGAGAGAGAGAGAGAGAGAGAGAGAGAGAGAGAGAGAGAGAGAGAGAGAGAGAGCGAGAGTTTTGTCCACCGCTCACGACACGAGCAGGACAGAAAACAACTGGGGCTGTGGCAAAGCTGAGACAGAGGTGGGTGCAGCACAAGCTGCGCGAGTTGCAAGCCCCCACTGCTGGCGCAACTACCGCCGCACCATCCACTGCGGCGCCCGCTACATTGGCGTCCGATAGCACTGGCGCAGTTGAGGGTGCCCCAGCATCAGCACCATCGGACACCGGTGCGGCTGAGGGTGTCCCAGCAGCACACGCTTTTCAAATCTTTTCTGTCGAGCAAGCTCTGCAAGTAGTGGTCGAGAAGAACAAGAGTGCTCATCCTTCTCTCAAAGACGAGGCCTATGTGGTCCCACACCAACTAATCCTGAAATTTCAGCAAGCTCGGCAACAGAACCGTATGCAGGATCACGTTGGCCTGCTGTTCACACAATCAACGAAGTATCGGAAGCGGGCTCGCAAGGTGCTCAAGATGTGCTTCTGGGTGCCGGAGATGGATTGGCAGGAGACCTCCAAGCTGACGGACGCAGTGCAGGGGGTAAAGGCCGAGTGTGATTTGGTGTTTTCAGGGCTGGTCGCCTTCCGAGACAGCCAGCATCGCTCCAATGTCGAGTGGGCGCAGAGGCTGCAAGGCCTCCTGAGCGAGGAGGTGCTCATGTTGGAAATCGACACCGATGGCACAAACTCCACAGTGTATGTCTTCCAGGATACGGAAGAAGGCGACAAGTTCGTGGAAGTGAGCAGCTACGGTGCCGCCGCCGGCAAGTTCAATCGAGTGCAGGTGGGCCATTCTGGCCAGCTCGACAGCCAAGACCTGCAAGTAATGGTCTCGCGAGTGATGTCCTCTCCTTCAATCTTGGTGGCAGACAGTGCAACGGACCAGGGACCGGAAGCTATTTTGGACCTGCTTTGGGCGGCTGTCAGCCGCAAGAACAAGCCGATCAGGACGTCTGCATTGTTCCAGTTGCGCGTGCCCTCGAAACCCCTCTCAGCATTGCTGAGGAAACACGGTTACCATGCCACGCCTAGTATGCCCGTAGACTTTGATCATTCTGGTCTCCTAGAAGACCTGAGCTTGATGTCTGGAAGACGACGTGAGGAGCTACGCCAGGTTTGTCTCGCGAGTCTCTCGAGTCCGGATGCCGACAAACCCTGGACTGAGGTAACCACGGTAAATTGCCGAGAGAAAGGGCTCCCTAATCTTGTTGCCATGGCTGAGAAGAGAGGCCACCAAGTGGCACAGCCGCTTGAGCTTGCTATGGCGTTGGGCGGCATGACGGAGGCCATGGTGCAGTTCACGAAGGAAGCGGAGTCCGCCAGCACCAAGAAGAGGGGACGACCCTATGCAACCATTGATGATCGGAAACGGGCGAAGATTGTGTCCCACGTGAGGCAGTGCAGCTACCTCTCCAGGGAGATGCGGGCTCGGGCATTGGAACGATTGAAGAGGAAACGGCCTGAGCCAGAAGCCTCTGACGGTGGCACTGAAGCGGAGCAGAAGAAGAAGAAGAGGAAAAATAAAGGCAAGCGGTGTGTATCGAAGCCACACTACAGGAGGAAACGTGGTGACGAGCTGTCCCTACTCACAAAGCGGCAGATTGTGGCCGGGCCCAGTGTTAAATGTTGGTTTGAGAAGTCTATCCTCAGGGAGGGTCGGTTGTGGGAGCTCACTGCTGGCGCAAATCATGATCGATCTCTCTCTCTCTCTCTCTCTCTCTCTCTCTCTCTGTCTCTCTCTCCTCTACCCTGCCCCTCTCTCCTCTCTCGTTCTCTCCTCTCTCCATTTCTTATCTTTCCTTCTCCCCTTTTCTCATCTCTCCTTCTCATCTTTCGTTTTCTCGTCTGTCCTCTTTGAGGCGAGATGTGGTTTCGGGAGTTCACTCGATTGCGCCAGCATCCGAGGTGGAAGCTGGCCTTGAATTCGAAAGGCGGGGATTCGCCTCGTCGGTGGACAAGCACTTGGAAGCCACGTTTCCAGGCAAATACTGCTCGCGGCGGTACTTTCACTGGAAGACACTGTATCACAAGTGGTGCTGGGGGAGCATCCCCAGCAAAGACGCAGCCAGATGGAGACAGGTACCAAACTCGTGGAAGCGGGGATTTGCCAATCACAAAGACAACCTGCGTGGAGTGTGTGCTGACAAGCATGGTCTGCCGCCTGCAGTCGGCGACATGGTACATGAGCAGCTGCAGGCCTTAACGTGCAGTGACAGGCTGTTTAGCCGTGCCGAACCGGTTAGCAGGAAAGACGTGACGCACACCATCACGAGTGTAGTGAACTCCGTCAATGCCGTCGCATCGCAAAACAGCACTGAGACGACCCGTTTCAATTTGCAACTGACGGATCAGTTTTGCAAGGAAGAGATAAGCTTCGATGAATACGCTGCCAAACTTCAAGCTCTTCCTCGCACGGTGCCTTTAAAATCCATGGAGTGGCTGGCCAAGGATTTCTTGAAGCGAATCGACTTCACCAAGCAGGCGGTGAACACATCGGGGACCTACCTCGAGGAGGACGACCCCCGCATGGTGGCGTTGCCCGTCGTGATTCATTTGTGTGAGTATGGGTTGCATGGTGGTGTATCGTTTGTAAACCACTACTGGCGCAACGCAGGCAAAGGTCTCGTGGAGCACCGGTGTTGTTGTCAGGGATCTGTGCTTCCTGGGCATGCCACTGCTGGCGCAACGCATCTAAGGAGTCGTGCTGCACATGAGAAGCTGCGTGAACAGCACAACATCCCGCTGGCCCTCATCTTGAACTACGACCAGACATGGTTTCAGCCGTTCCGTGCACCGAAAGGCATCCTCATGAAGAAGCAAACGAAGAGAGCTCGCTCCGCCGTGACGCGGATCAGTAGCATAACGGGTGCACGGACGGGTTTGACTTTCGTGACCACCTCCTTTGCTACGGGCGAAGTGGGCCCAGTATTCGTGAATCTGGCACCTGGGACCTTGTCGAAGAAGGACATGGATAGCCTGGTCAGCGAGTTTGAAGACACGGCAGTGATCATGACGTCCAAAACCCCGTCACACTTCATGAACGCCGAAGCCACATGGAACATGTTTGAAACTCTGCTGACGAAAGCATTTGCGAAGCAGCGGGACAAATACCATCTGTGGGGGCGGTGCGGGCTTCTCCTGGCGGACGCCTTTGGAGGAAATCACGCGGCTGCTTTCGCGCTTCTACGCAAGAAGTGGTCGGAGGTGAACAGCGTCATGCTGCCACAAGTTCAACCAGGTGGTTGGAGTGCTCATGGCCAGCCACAGGCGCCCCCCTCCCTCTCCCTCTCTCTCCCTCTCCCTCTCCCTCCCTCTCCCTCTCCCTCTCTGCAGTTGCGCCAACAGTGCCCGCATCCCCCTGCGAGGACCAGATTCATGGATTCTTCAAGGACATGTGTGACCAGTCAGTGAGGGGCAGCCTCAAGTTCAGCAGGAACTTGTTCTGCAGGCTGCCGTAGTTCAAGCTTCTCGCCTCGTTGTGGGGCTTGGCACCTGCTTTGGTCTGCACGTTTGAGAGGGCCTTGGGGCAAATACCTTATACATAGGTTTGGGGTGGAGTGGGCTTCTCGTTGTCATCTACTTCCACATGCAGCCGGCCAGTGTTATCCAAGGTTGGAGATCAACTGCACAGGGCAGGTGCGACGGGAGGCAGATTGCAAGAGTGCGATCCGATCTGGGATCAAGAACTGGCAGCTGATTCCTGCAGCCATGGTCCAGAACGCTTGGGTGAAGACCGGTTACGCGACCTGGGATGAAATCGAAGCGGTGACCACAGGCAATCGAGAGATGGCTCGTGCGATGCAACAGCAGGAAGATCCGCACGGTTTTGCTGATGTCCTGGGGAAGGAGGGCGCTGCTGCTCCGACAGCTGAGGAAGTCCATGCCAGACTGGTGCATGAAAAGGCGGTTGTGTGGCAGGTGAAATGCCCTGCGGACGAGAACTGGAGCTACCTGCCCCAGGCACGAGTCATGTCACTGCTGGCGCAAAGTCAAGCCAGTCGCAGTCACAGTTTCTTTCCTTTTGTTGCTCCATGACAGGCACTGGTGCTGATCGTCGAGAAGCAGCTGTGCCTGTACTTGCACCAGCGTGCCATTGCTAAGCCAGGGCAGCCGGTGCAGCACATGTGTTCAGTGGTGTGGTCTCTCCGAGCCGGGAATGAAATGCGCCATGATTGGATCGTCAAATACACCGACCTTGTGGACGGCAAGCGAGTCCTCTCCGAGAAATGCAAGCGGCCTTCACTCTACTCGATATTTCACGTCGATCTTCTCAATCTCCTTCTCTTCATTGGCAGCGAGCAGGTCGGTCGAAAGCTGGCGTATTCCCTAGTCCCGGCTTCCGATGTGAGCAGCGCATCCGATGTTGAATGGCTGTCTGTGCAAAAAACCCATGAGATCTTCGCCAAACAGAGTGCCACTACTGGCGCAACCGGTCGCTCCGGCCAGAAGGTGGCGAACGTCGAGGGCGACCCGGCTCAGGACAACGAAGGCAACCACGAGGATGACGAGGCTCGTGGGTTGCATGTGTTTTTTTCTTCTCATGCGGTGTCCTTGCATATACACATACAGTCACCTTTCGTGTGCAGGAGTCCGAGAATGAGAATGGCAAGGACGACGATCAGGAACCGGACGAGTTTCAAAACATGATGGTTGCTTACGAAGGCGATCAGGCTTTGCACGGCGACGGCCAACCAGTGCGACGTCTCGTGGTCGATTCCAAAAGGCACAAGTACTTCGTCCTGCGTGAGGACGACACGGTCCTGGCAGAGACTGACACTGAGCACGACCAGCCTCCAGAGGAAGTTGGTGATGCTGACATGTGGGTCGAAGGAGCTGCGCCCTTGGTCAACCTCCGTATCGCGGGCTCGCATGTCCCGGAGCCTGAGCCCGATGTGACCCGTTTTGTTACAAAGAGCGGCAAGTACACAACTCCAGGCTTGGAACGGCTGCGGAATCTACTTCCTCCCAGAGACAAATGCAGAGTGCAGCAGCGGGCTCCGGATGGGGTAGTGCAGGCATGGTTTCCTGGAGTACCAAGCAAGACATTCAGGTTTTCAGAAGCCAGTGTCTGGACGAACGAGACTCTTCCCGTGAGCATCGTGGATGCTGCTCTCCGCAATGCCATCGAATGGCCGTGGGTGCAGTTTGGACATGAGGTTGGGGCGGAGAGAGCCCAGGAGATGTTCAGGGCTGTGAAAGCCCGCGTGGATGCGATGGAAGGCGGCTCTGCTTGACGAATGCCAGGTTGAATGGGATATCTATCGCTGCTCTGGTGCGGTGTGGGTGCGCTGAGCCGCGACAGTAACTTCCAGTCACTAAGCGATGCTTCCATGCGTTGTGGGTACGTAGGGTCAGTGTTCGAGTCGAGTCAATTTGGCGGCACATGCTTGCCTTCAATGCTTTGGTGTACAGCTTGGGTTTTGCTGCACCTACGCCTGGTTTGAAGCCGTGGTGTCCAAATCAAGTACTTTATGCACGGTTTTGTGCTCACGAGCAGCCTGCTTTGGCTGCGTGTTTTGAGTTAGTTCGCTGCATCTGGACTCAAAGCTCGGACATGCAGCTACGCATCACTCCGTCCAGAACAATATATATCAATCAATATATATATATATATATATATATTCTACAGTGGAACTCCTTACATAGAGCGGGGGAGGATAGCTGTGTTGCATGTGTGCTTGTACAGCGAGCGTCCAGATGGTTCAGGGGAACTAAATATGATCCGAAGTCATGCTGTCACCGTCGTCGACTCCTGGCGCAAGACAAAGAAGATTCCGTGTCACTGCATCCGCCGGCGAGGGGTTTCTCTCGTATACATTGGGTTGAAAGCTGAAAGCATCCAGGTTGCATAAGGTCTTACTCAGACTCAGAGCATGTTAGATCTTGGCGCAAATCGCAAGTGGGCAGCTCCGCAGTGTTTTTTTTTTTTTCCGTCGTTTCGTTTCTACCTCAAAATGCCTTCATGGGGTATCCAGACCCCAATTTCCGAATTGTATTCCCCCGAAATAAATGTCCATCTTTTTGCTCCTCGTGCACCCCTTTTCCCCCTTCGTAGGTCGTGAGCTGCGGCTCGGGCAGGAGGTGGTGAGTTGTTTTCTTTTGGGTGCCCTTCGTGACAAAACGTTCTCTCGTTCTTCGTTTCTCCTTTCAAAATTTCTTCTCGCCCCTGCATTTTGAGCCTGACGGGGCCGAGGGGCGGCTGGGCCGCAAAAGCTTTGTGCCAGTTGTAGATATCCATCGGTTGACAGCTTAGGCTAAGGAGGTCTTCAAGTGGTATTCCGGGCTCTAGGGTTTACCCTCTCACCCTTTCTATCACGTTTCAGGGTCTCCCCCGCCCTTTCGGCCGTTACCCTGCCACTCCTGGCGCAATCGAATCCGTGGATTGCCCAGGTCCTCTTGCTCTTTGTCAAGAGGCCCGCTGCGGGGGGCAGGCATCGACGGTTGCCTTGAGCACGATGCAAGGTTTAGGTTTTGAGGGTTGCGCTTGGGTTATATGGGGTGTGGGGCAGGAGCCGGGAGCAGCGGTGTTACCGTGCCAGCTTGACCACCTAGTTCCATTCGACCCGTAGTGAAATTGAGAATCTTCCCGCCATGCTCCAGGCCCTGACTCTGGGCGCAATCATCTGGGACTCTGCCTGGGCCAGAAGAAAAAACCTGGAGTGCGACTCATCGTTGCCTTGCAAGGTTCAGTCGTTACAGGTTGATTAAAGTCCCGTGTATCTACCGGGCGTCCGTTTGAGGAACCTTCATGCTCGGTAGTGGTTGATGAGGCAAGAGCATTCCCACCGCAAAAGGGCCCGATTCCCGGTTGCCAAATAAGGCTAGTCAGGGGAGTTGGCATGCATCTGTAGCTGGAAACAGTGCGCCAGTTGTGAAGGCATGTACTTTGCGAGTTTTCGCATCCGTTGCGCCAGTTGCGATTCCCCGGGACGCGTTTTTTGGGGGTGTTGCGCCAGTTGTGCTGGCGGCACGGCGCGTTTTCTGCAACCTTTGAGGTTGCATGGTTTCTTGGTGTTTTGGACCCCGTACTGGCGCTTCTGCGGTAATGCTCCAGTTGCGGAAGACCCAAGTGCTAGAAACCGCCAGTTGTGAAGGAAAATTAATGTATCCGACTTGCGCCAAGAGCGGCAAAAATAGTATAGTGTCGTAGCCACCTCCGCGTCCAGCTTTCCAGGCGTTCTGAAGGTTACAAAAGCTCCAGGAACAGCTTGCTGTTGAAGCTCTTGAAGTACCGCTGCTGCAACTGTGGATTTCCCCATGCCGGCCTCAGCATAGAAGGCGTGGACACCTGGAAGGTCTGCGGTCTCGCGCATCAGCTTGTGCTGTACAGTATTCTCTTCGTAATGTTCATACAGCTCCGGCACGCTTCGGCCATATTGCAAAGTAGCCGCGACCAACGGAATGTTTTCTGCCAAGAAGCACTGACGAGCCATAATTTCTGAAGCCGGCCCGAGCCCAACATGTTGGCGCCAATCGTGTACGAGATTGAAGCAGTTGTAGACATGCGCTGGAGCCCACCCTGCTACAAGCCATCCGAATCCAAACCCAGCTACCAAGACTGGCACAATCATCTTGACAACACCGAAGAGTTGTGTGCGATTCCACAATTCCAAAGTTGGCGTAGCCGGGGTGGGCGTCACCGGCAAAGCAACAGCGGGAGGAGTCATCAAAGCTTTCGCTTTAGCTTTTGGAGTTCTTTTAGCTTTTGGATGTCCACGATTCACCATAGCTCCGCCACCAGACTTGTGAGGTGATGTCCGAACGGCGATCTAAAGGGCAAATGTCTACCAATTCACTGGATGTACGTCGGTTCCTGCAATTGGTACATAGATATACGTAGTCTGACTGTCCAACTATGTTCAATACAATTGCCTCTCGTCAGCAATTTGATTCAAGCGTGCGACAGCTGTATCATTGCCTGGCCTGCAAACAACGCAAAGTCAAACTCACAAGTTGATCATTGATGAGCATTTGACCTCAAGGACTTCTGTGCGGTTCTTGTGGCAGGAAAAGCAGCACAAACGATTAGCGCAATGTCTGAGCCCGAGTGTGCATCGGCTTGTCACGCCTTTTCATGGAAGCTATCTGAACAAGTTTGCAAAGCTGGCCTCGGCAAAAGCCGGCGACATCCGTCCAGAACTCTGCACACATGGGCACAAATCTGTCGCGGGTTTTGGAGAAATCTAGCACGGGTGTGAAAGACGTTGCAGAGATTTCGGGTTTTGCCATGGCCCGCACCAACGGTTTCACAGGTCGCTACCCTGGGCATCCGTTATTGATTGTAATCAATAATCTTGTATTGATACTGATTATTGAAAATCATGGTGTGCTAATCAATACACATAATCAATAGCAAACACTATAAAAAGCACAGGCAAAATCAATATATTTGCATAGGAAAACTATCTACTAAATCAATACCAAAACGCCTGAAAACGGTATGCTGAGCCCTCAAATACCAGGACAAAACTCTTCAAACCTACTTCAACCTGGCTAGATGGTGGCTGGTTGCCTGGCTTGGTTGGTTGGTTGGTTGGTTGGTTGGTTGGTTGGTTGGTTGGGCTGAATTGGGCTGGGCTGGGCTAGGCTGGGTTGGGTGTGGTGGGGTGGAGTGGGGTGGTTTGGCTCCAAAGCCTCGAGACTTTGAGCTTAGCAGTTGCGGCAAAACAAAAAGGATCAGCAGCAGTCCCTTCAACAAGACCACACAACACAAATACTATATATACGTATATATATATATATATATATTCCTTTTGTCTCATTTATTTATTTATATTGGGTTTTAAGGTTGAGGGTTTGTTTCAGGCTTCACGGTTTGGGCTTTAGGGTTTAGGTTGATGTTTGGAGTTGTTAAAGGTTCAGGACAGGGTTTTGGGGTTTAGGATTTAGAAGTAAGGGGGGAAAGGTTTTTGCTTTAAGTTTAGGGTTTAGGCTTTGGGTTTTGGGCATTAGGGTTTAGGGGTTTAGGTTTTAGGGCTAATAGGGTTTATGTTTTAGGGTTTAGGGGTTCAAGGTTAACGTTCTGTTTTTAGGGTTTAAGGGGTTGAGGGTTAGGGTTAGGGTTTAGGGTTTAGGGTCAAAGTAAAGGTGTAGGGTTAAGCTTGTGGCTTTTAGGGTTTAGGGCTGTAAGGTTTAGGGTTAAGATTCGGGTTTAGGGATTTAGGGTTTAGGCTTAAGGTTAGGGTTTAGGGTTTAGGGGTTTAGGGGTTTAGGGGTTTAGGGGTTTGGTTTAGGGTTGAGGATTAAGGTTAGGTTTAGGGTTTAAGGTTAGGGTCTAGTGGTTTTTAGGGTTGAGGGTTTAAGGTTAGGGTTGAGGGGTTTTTAGGGCTTTGGATTTAAGGTTAGGGTTTAGGGGTTTTTAGGGCTTAGGGTTTAAGGATAGGGTTTATTGGTTTAGGGTTAGGTTTAAAGTTAGGGTTGAGGGTTTAAGGTTAGGGTTTAGGGGTTTAGGGTTGAGGTTATAAGGTCAGGGTTTACGGGTTTGTAGGGTTCAGGGTTTGTGTTTCTATGGTGTGGGGAGGGTTCGGGTCGTAGCGCACAAAACGGCCCCCGGGCTAGTGAAACCCAATAAGTAATCCTTGGTAAAAGGATTACTTATTGGGTTTCCCAAAGCAGCTCATAGCGCACAAACCCCCCCAAAAAAACAGATAGCCCTTAGCAAAACGATTATGTGTCTAGGTTTGACCAAAAAAATACCACAAATATTTTATTTTATGGACCTTTTATCAAGGCCCAATCCACCAGAATGCCATCCAAAACAAAACCGAACCCGCCCCGATCAAACCTGATCAAACCTGATCAAACCATGGTTTGATCAGATCAAATCCTGATCAAACCATGCTTTGATCAGGCTTGATCAGGTTTGATCAGATTTCATCAGGTTTGATCGGGTTGTTCCCCGTGGCATTAACCTCCGATCCAGGTGTGTTTCACCCTTTTCCCAAGGGCGAAACAAACCTGGGTCAGAAGGAAACAAACCTGAACAAAGCGACTTTAACACCCGACACAAACACAACGGCAAATATTTACACGAACAAACCAAGCACAAACAAACATTGAAACCAAGCAGGCACAGAAACAAACGGCGCAACACACAAACGAACAAGCAAGCAAACAAGCGAGCAAACCAGCAAGACAGCAAGCCAGCAAGCACAACAAGAAACAAACAAACATTGAACCAACAAAACTAAGAAACAATAACAAACAAAGAAAAACCAAACAAACTAAAAGCAAA